GCCGAGCCTTCTTATGCGCATTCCTGTGGCTGCCCCCTGGCTCTCTCAGAATTCTCTTTTGCACTGTCACCATAGTAACCAAGAGCTTAAGAGAGGGGAACCTAAGGCCCGGAGGCCATATGCAGCCCCCGGCTTGCCTGGATCTGGTCCCCAATGCTCTGGGCACACCCCCCAGCATTAAGGAGCACACGCTGGTGCTCCAGCCCCCACGCCATTCCCCCATGGGGCTGGAGCATACAGAGTCTACTAGCCTGGATCCCTCTAGGCTCTGGTATGGGGGGAGTGTCTTTCTCCTTCTCAGGCGGGGACCACGTCTCTGACGGGATTTTTTTTGTGCGCTGTTTACTTGTGTGTCAGCCCCGACTGATGTTTCGGTGGGTCAGCCCCAAAATGGTTCCCCACTCCAGTTCACTACGCTCCTCTGTGCACTAAACCTACTTTAAAATATCACGTCTTGGGCAGTCCGACTCCTCTTACTCAGCTGGCAGTTCCCAGGCTGGCTTTGGTGTGCAGAGAGAACAACAGTTCCCCAGCCCCAGTACATGCCCTAGTCCTTTGTCCCACCTGGTGCCCAGACAGCAAGGTTCTCATCCATGATCCTGAGACCCAAACCAAAGCCCAGTACAGCCGGCGGAAGCCTCTCAGGCCACTGAAGGCCTTTTCCTCCTTGCTCATTGTGGCTTGGCCTGCTTCCATCTGGAAGGAGCAGATTCACTCTGACACAGCAGCTGAGGGTGGGAATGTGCCCCAGGGTCAATGCTGGGCAAAAGCCAACTCCATTGCTGAAGACCGGCTCTAAGGCCAAGAGGAATTCGGGGCTACCTACTGTGGCAGCTCAGCATGAGAAGAAAGAAGGAGGTCTCTAGCAATGCCCAGAAAGGGGGAGATCTCCTTTTGTCACAGGGCCAGCACCGCACAAGCCCGAGGAAATCTGTGCAAAGGAGCTGGATTTGGGAAAGTTTCTGTTCTGAGGCCTGGTCTGCACTAGTTTAGATAGAGTTCAGCCACTTAAGGTTGGTTTTCTAAACAGGGAGTCCACACTACCGAGCCCGTTCCGTCGCCTCGAAGGGTGCTGAAGTCAGTGTCGGTTCTCCTCCTTTTCACGAGGAGTAATGCAACATGCAACCTGGCATGGTTGAATTCACAGTAGTGTAGACCCAGCGTAGAGAAAGTCGAGCTTCTTGGCCTCCAGGAAGCATCCCCCAGTACCCTGCTCTGACCAGGACTTGCACCTCTACTGCTCTCCAGGTGAACAGCAAGGCTACGTCAAGACTACCAGTTGAAAGAGAGCGTCTAGACTAAAGCAGCTTTTCCAAAAAAAGTGAGCCGTTTTTTCAAAAGAGAGTCTAGACGCTGTCTTTCGAAAAAGCACAGTTTGCATTCAATAGCGCCTTTGTTCGAAAAAGCACTTTCGAAAAAAGGCATTATTCCTTGTAAAATGAGGTTTACTGCGATCGAAAAAACTGCCACGTTCTTTCGATTTACTTTTGAAAACGTGGCTGCAGTCTAGGCGCAGATGACGGTTTTTTTTTTTCGAAAAAAGGCTACTTTTTTCGAAAAAACCCTGTAGTCTAGACACACCCTAAAAGCCCTGAGAGAATTTGAATTTCATTTCCCATGTGGCCAGCGTTGTGAGCGCACCTCAGAGCAGGCATTACACTGGAGCAGCACACGTGGCCATGACTTCAAGTTCCATGGGCACAAGTTCCCAGGGGCGCAGAAGAGTGCCAGCATGGAGCATGCAGGAGATCTTGCATGCTTGTAACAATCTCCAGCACCAGCTTGTAACAACCCCCCAGCACTGTCTGGCAGCAGATTTGAACACAGCACTAAAGTACAGACCTCTACTACTTGAGCTGGAAGAGGAAGTCCTTTAGCTGATGGCAGTAGTAGACCATCATCCTTTATTGGATCAGCTACTAGAGGGGAGCACAACTCCTGTATCATCCAGAGGTTGTGGTGTTCATGTTAAAATGGAACACCAGGGGCTGTTTCGGTTGCAGAACAATGCTGAGGGCAATGGACCATTACTTACATCCCGTGCCAAGGGCCACTGCCACCCCGCTCTCCTCACAACTTGGAACTTTACCACAGCCCTGTTATGCTCCCTCCCTCCCCAAAAAACCCTGCCCTGGCAGGAGCGCAGTGCTCCCCATGGGCTTGAGTCGCTTCTGTAAAGACCCACCTGTGCTGGGCTTTGAAGGCTGTTTGCTGCCTGCTGCTATGGAGACACTGTCAAGTGCTCCAGCTCCCCATAGGAGTGTTTACTCAGGCGGGGGAAGGAGGGGTGATCCTTGTGCTAAACTAGCCCCTTTCCCCAGCCTGCCGGACACACCTATGAAGGGAGGGTGCACAGGGACACGGGGCGCAAGCTGGTCTGGAGAAGAGACTTGTTGCAGAGGGGGATTGAGGCTGAGTTTGGCCCCTTCTGCAGCAAAGGGCACGCCCTGTGCACTCATTCTAGTCTGCAATACCCTTTCCAGCATCAGCAGCCAGCAGCTCCTAACAATGGCTTCCCATGCCCAGTTATCATTGTACTCCACTGGGATTCACAGAGCTTGCC